TCGGAATAATTTCCCCCCCTCCACAAATCCTATAGGTTTCATTTATTTCTTCCAACTTGGAGAGGGGCTTTTGAAGCTGATAATCTACCGGCCCAACGACTTGCTAGGAAGGGGGGAAAGGTTTGAACCGGCGGGAATGTGCGGGATAATCGCGAAATTAACAAAAGGCGACACAGGGGGTAGGCGGGTGGAAATTGCCTCTTCCCAAAATGCACGGGAACATTTCCGAAGTCCTGCACCCCCTCCAACACCCCTGCCCCAGCCCAGAGACGATTCACCCTCAGGCGAGCTAAACCCAGAGACGGGCTGTACATTGCCCAATTCGGTTTGGGATGAAGTTCTGACCAGGGCAGGTCATTTTTACAGACAGTAAATGAGACTTTACGAACCAACCCAATCGGTTTAGCCTTTTCAACACTAATCCACAAATACAAGGCTAGAAACGGACACGCATAACAAGATTTCCTCCACAGCGCATCTTGCAAATTACACATTTCACCTGTGTTGATTTCTTCTTGACGTAGAATTTGTTTCGCATAAACCGATACACAGTCTCTATCTCCCCACATACAGATCGCTAAATAAACTAGTTATCTATAGAGAGATCTAATTCGAATTGTCTATGGATAGAACGTATTTATCTCCTCACACATATATAAATGTAATTGTTTTTACACCTGGATCCATGGAGATAGTCTATTTGAATTAGAGATGCGTGGATAGATTTTGTGTCTATATTCCTGTACTTGTCTGTCGATGCATCGTGTATTGGGCAAAATTAATCGATGGATATAGAATTTGTTGTCGGCATACACGCCCTGTAAACAGCGTTTCCAGACATCCCTGAGCTACTTCTTCCCCCGCCGGATTAGTGTAAAAGGGTCCCAGGTAGCTAGAAAGGGGACGGAGTTTCATTACAAAGATGCTAAAACTGGCTCCCGGCCAGGAAAGGGGACATCGCCCAGGGGTGGGGAGCCCTGGGATTTGGCCATAGGCCAGGTCAAAGTGGGCATAAATAGTACAGGGTGATTTTCCCTCTTGCCTGGGACGCAGGGGGTCAAGGACGCCCAGTATAAAGGGGAAATCAGACCTCACACGGAGGCCTCCGCTGTTCTCATCCCCAGTGTCTCCTACAGCCCTTTTCGATCTGAGAAGTGATATTCCTTCTCAAGCCAGGTGGTTCCTCGAATCCGAATCGAAGGGAATTGTTAGACCTTCTCTCACGCCTGCTGGGAGCGATATTGTAAGGGGTGGGGGAAGACATTCCTCACGCCCTATTCGTTATCGGTTACTTGTTTAGTCGAATTTAAAACAATTGTTAACGGCGACCATTGCCTAGAACAATCAGTATTTCGTTGTCTGGGATAAACAGAATGCAGGGGGTGCACACTGCAGAGAACGAAAGAGGAGAGCGGTGTCGGACTCGGACTCAGTTTCTTACTGGTAGAAAAAAATATTGCTAACCCAGAGCAATTAAAAACAATCCCCCTGTGGCTGATACCTAGAACAGCAAAGGTGGGAGGTGAACAGTCCACAGCAACCACAAAGGAAGGGGGCTAGTGAAATTGACAACCCCCTTCTCATGCCTCCTCATTGGTACGGAGAGGGCTCTGAACCAGGGGTCACTGGAAAGCAAAGATCTTTCATCCCCGCACAGGGGGCTTTCTGCGCGGCTTTTGCAAGTATTTAATCAAACAAAATACAAACACCCCCCCCCCAAACAGAAGAAAGGATGAGAGAAGTAGATAAAAAGAGCCGGAGGTGAAACGCGGCTACCCTGATCGCTCCTGTCCCCTCTCTCTGGAGATGTTTGACTCAGACTCTCCATTCAGCCGCTATGGCAGGGCTGCTCTGGGCACATTTCCAAAGCCAGGGTTGTTTTTTTAGGGGTGGGGGAGAGGGGAAAGAGTATTGTTGCAAATCGGGAGAATCCGGGGGCTACTGCTCAGGAAACCCAAGGGATGGAGCGCTCCAGACTAAATGGAGGAGATTCCTGCAGGAAAAGTAGCAAGATTCAGCCCAATCCAGAATCCACCAGGATCTGGACTAAATGACCCCAAGAGCCTTTGCAGCCCCCCAGTCTTTCACCTGAGCCCCAGTGCCCAGCGGGAGCATGAGAAGGGGGGTTCCAGGAACTGCCTAAAAACCGGTCGCTGTCCAAGCAGAGACGGGCACAGAGCCCTTCCCGATCTACAAGTCTGGAGAAAGCACCATGCACAAGCACAACCGCTGGGAAGGCGGAGGGTAAGGAAACAGCATCTTTTGCCTGTCGGGGTCAGGAATTTCAACTCTGCCAGCCAGTGACCCCCTAGGTATCGAAATGTAAGCAACCAAAATACAAAGAGCCGGGAAGTGACTGAAAAAGAATGAATTGATCAATGGAATATACTAGACGCGTGAATAAGCTATTCAACAAGAAAGATCTGTCTCTAAATACACAGATACTTTTACAGCCAGATATTTGTAGAAAAAAATATAAATAGATCAATATATGTAGATACCCGTAGATTTGTATCTATGTATATATAGTATCTATCTACATACAGCACAGAGATTGTGTATGCGAAGAAATGGAGATAATTTGTATACGTCTATACATAATGGTGTATAGCTAGACAGGTATTTAATTATGTACGGATACAGATCTCTCTATACATATATAGATAAGTGTGTGTATATACCGAAATAACGGTCTGTATATTTATATATGTATACGAGAAAGATCTGTATAAATACATCATTAAATAGCGGTCTAGATCTAGATATCAATATTTGGACAGATAGATAGAATGGGATTTTAAGGATTTTTGACATACAACCTAGCCGTATTTGATCTAAACCAACTGACTCTTCATTATAAATACAGATTCTCTGACCCGAGCTATAAATTGGACCCTATTTCTGACAGACAGGTCTGTCTCCGGATAAATGGCCGGGTCCAGTTAATTCTCTCTCTGTGTCTCTCAATTCGGGAGATTGGGTTGGAGGCGGATTTTAAAACTCAGTAGCAAGAGGAGGAAATTTCCCCTCTGGATCATAAAGGAGAATAAAACGAGGTCGTAATGGCTCCCTACAGCCTGTAAAGCAAACCCCAGTTTTCTAGCCGGGGAGAGGGCACCACAGGTAGACAGATAAATCTAGAAGGCTCCAAACAATCAAATACAAACAAAGGAACAGTCCAGAAGCTGAAACCCGTTCTTCTTATTCCGTCGACCAAGATCATACCCGGACATTTCTTGCCACCCCTTTTTGTGCCCTGCTATCGCAAGAAAGTAACCGCACTTCCTTTCTGCTGGGTTTCAGACGGTAGCAAAGACTTGCGAGTCAAGCAAGGTGTGAACGGCCCCTAACTTTTCCTATAACTTGTCCCCACACGCCAGCCCGCTCCATCACTTTCCAGAGAGATCTCGCCCGAGAGGAACTAATCTGGGGGGCAGGGCGGCAGGGGATGTGTAAAGTACCCCCCATCAGTATGACCTCCTTCCCGGCTGCAAACGCGACCGGGCCTGGAGTGAGTTAGCAAAAGGATCTCCAAGCGAAACCCTTCAACGCGCGAGGCGGGCAGTCTCCGTACGACGCCAAGCAACACGGTGTTATGTGTAACAACGCACACACCGACACATCCGCATGCCGGCGCCTCGGCTAGCCAGAGACCTGTGGCAGCATTTGCAGAAAACTCTTGATCTGTTTCCCCTGCCAGTTACATGTCATGTTTTTTCCGAGCGTCCGGCTGATTTCACATGTCAGCGGAAAGCCCCAGAAACCAGGCAAAGCCCCGCCGAGCAAAGCCGCACGCGACATCTCTGCTGCCCCGGCCACCCGAGGGGCAATGCCCCAGGGCCGTTCTCCGTCTAACCAGAGCACACGGGCCGCGAGTGCGGGGGAGAGACGCCGCATTCAGACCGGCGCAGGGAGCCAGCCCTTGGCCAGAGCATCTATCGCCTACAGGAGGGGCCGATCCGCGCGCTCAGCATTGGGAACAGAGCAAGAAATAGGGGGTCATAAGACAAGCAACGAATATTATGGAGTATGAATGTGTCTATATTATGTGTGTATGTATATATAGCAACACATGCCGTATATATCAGTGTGCGTATATATAGCCCCATATATATATGCGCAAACAACATATATACCAGCGTGTGGATATAGATCTATATACACACACAAACACATAGACACGTACATACACACATTATAATACATACGCACACGCATAGCTATATTATATACACACGTGTAGATACATACATATGCTCACAGTATATCTATATTCCTGAGCTAGGGTTCACAACTAGACTCTGCTATGCATATAACATCTCTCTATTCCTGGATCAGAGTTCATAGCTTCGCCTGAGCTACACTACCCTCAATTCCAATTTGACAAAACAACGGCCTGGGATCTCCCCCAGGCAGCTCAGCGGCTCTGCTCCCCCAGCTCCCCACCTGTGTTTCCAAGGAGCAGATTGCAAATAAACTCCCCGGCGGTGACTTGCATTGGGGTCTCCCCACTCCTAGCAGCAAATGGGCGAGATGGGTGCACTTTCCGGAGATTTCCCCCCTTAGAATGCAGCGCTCAGAGGGTCTCCCAACTTCTTGCAAGGCGGTTTAAAGTTGATGTGGCTGCGGGACCAGTATTTTGCTCTCATCTAGGAAGATTGTTTACTTCCCATTAGCTGCCTATTCCTCTTCCCCAATCAGCACAATCATCCTGCATATCTACTCCACTAAGCTCTCCGGGTACTTCCTTCCCTGTTGCGTATTATTATTTTCCTCTCTATATTATTAGTATTTTAAAAAGAAGGCAACCAACCTCATCCAGCCCCTTCGCAGGAATTTGCCTCACATGGAAATACCCACCCGTCTTACATTTCTCAAGTACTCCCCCCCCCCGCCTCTCCACATCTCACAGTGCAGTTAGCCACCCTCCCTGCACCATTTAGGCTTCTATCATTGCCAGTTTTCTTTATTATTAAATCAATGAGGGAAAAAATCCTTACGTTGCATTGGTACACCAAGAATCTCTGGAAGCCCCTTGACAGAACCTTCTGTAGTGAGTGCTGAGCTTTGCATCATTTTATTTAAATAGAAAATAAAAAATAAACGGCTCTATTTTCTCTCTCTATACAAATAAAATAAAACATGAAGTTTAAAGTACAATCAGGGCTGATCCTTCTGCACGTGCCGGAGGATTGAGGTGGCCCTGCTTTAGCCCTGGTCTGTTTCAAATCCCTTTTGATCCTGCTATCCTGGGTTAGTGTATCCTGGGTTAAAGTGATGCTGCAGCAGCTCTTTTCGCTGGAATGCTGGTCCCCAGAAGGCAGGTTTGATTCATTCACACTGCAGGGAGTGAGCGTGACGTCACTTTCCGCAGGGAGGCCCCGCCCCCTCCAGCCAATCCCCTTACATCATGTCAGAAGCTGGGGCGGGGACACCCAAAGGACAGAGCCCAGGTAAAGATTCGAGGGGCGGGGCCACCAGGCGAAGTGGGCGCGGCCTGTGCCGTATGGGCGTGGTTACCTGGCATTTAGCCCCGCCCCTGCCCTTCGAGGGCTATAAAGGCAGCGGCGGCAGCTGGTGGCTCAGAGCTGCTTGTCTTGCTGGGCTTGCGCAGCCCTTCCGTTTGGCCCTGGCGCCCCTTGAAAAGGGAGGTTACCCCGGTGAAAGAGCGGCGCCCCACGGTTGTTACACCGGGGCACGCTAGAAATCCCTGTGTCAGTCACAGGCCCGTTTATTATCCCTCGTTCCTCAGCATTGCTGCTGCTCCATTTCCCTCCTCCCTTCACCCTGCGGCTCCATCCAGCTACTCCTTAGCCACCCGGCCACCGGACCCTGCATAACCTGCTGCTCCCCTGTAACAAAATCTGCAGAAATCGACATGCCTCGACTGCCGCTGACGGGATTAAACAAACCCACCCGCCCACCGTTCCTTCCAGTTGGGGTTTGCTCCCATTTCCACGCGGCCTTCCTCGTTCTGCGGCGCTAGTGTCTGCTGGAGCTTCTCGCTCGCTTTATTTGTTGCTTGGTTCTGTCTCCCTCAGCAGCTGTTCTAAGATTTCCCCTTTATCCAAATAGTTGCCGGTGTTTTATTTCCCCCTCTCCCCACGCTGACATACAGCGTTGCTTCACCTTGCCCAGGCCTGCTGAACAACGCTGGGGTCAATATTTCTCACTGAGCATTGCGATTCGTCTTCAGTGCGTGCCTGCTACATGTTCACAAGCCGCACACACCTTGAAATGGCTGGTTCCAGGACTTATTTAGCTGGAAAAATTCAGATCTCACATGAGGAAGTTATTCTTCCCGTCTCTGTTCATTACGAAGCTTTTCCTCTTAAAAACAATTCGAATCACGGATGCATTATTATGACACGCAGGGCAGAAAGGTCACATAGCGGTAAACAAACAGGTTTTTTAAAATAGCCCTTTTCACTTTATATATATATCAAAACCTCAGGCAAGTGTTTCTGGCCTCAGTCCATCATATCAACGTGAGCTGGATGATTGACTAATTTCATCTAGTTAATTTCAGTATTTGCCCAGGCAAACATCCCCCTACCCTGGGGGACGCTGGTAGGAGTCTTGTTGCTTGTTGGATTCGGAGGCCGGTTCTCGCTACACTGCGGCTACAGGCAGGGCTGTGGTTATTCGGCGTTTCCACTCCCCTTTCTCTCGGCATTAGGAAGGGATGCTGGCTGGCTAGATTAGGAAGCTGGAATGCCCCACATTTGGGTGATTAGAAAGGAGAGCGTTCCAGCATTTGGCTTTTTTGCCGCCCACTGAACCGCCTCAGAGCGGACCCCCTTCCCTTTTCCCCATGAAACCCGAGGCAGAAAACAGCCAGCCCAGTGGCTTTCGATAGCACGCTGAAAACCCCGTCTTAATGCATAAGGAAGATGTCCTAAGAAATACAACGCTCCACCTTAAAGATTGCAATGTTTGCCATTTGCTACAGCTCCCATTCTTCCTGATGGCCGACCGCTTTCCTTACCGGGGGCTGGGGGGTTGAAACAGCATATTTTAGGAGTAAAAGTCACTAACTAATGACTGAATGCATGTCAGATGGCAAGAGCCCTGCACACACCCGTGTCCATTCCGATGCCAGCGATATTAAACCGTGCAGGGAAACGTCATTTACAGCAGATGAGAGAGACCGAGATCAGGACTCTGTTAATAGCGACTTTTTAAACGAAAAACATAAAAAACAAAAAATCGAACAATAACGGCGAGTGAGTTTCTCATCCCTGGGGCTGATTTACTGTCGGATATCAGCAAACGAAAATATCAATAATTTTTCTCATGGAGGAATTTACGAATGTTTTGAGAGATTTAATAGATGATTGGACACAGGTACTTTTCTAACCAATGTATCTGCTTCCTCCCAGCCCGCTGCACAGAAACAGCCAGGCTTGGCTGGCATCAGGGGAAGGGGTGTGAATCCCCCTCTATTCTGTAAAAGGCACCGGGCTAAATTCATTCTTGGGGCGAAGTATGGAGATGACCTCATTGCTCACGCATATTTTTCCCTCCTCACCCCCACCGGAATGGATTTGATTCATTGTGCTCACCTTGCCCGTCCCATCTCAGGGGCAGATCCTTCGTTGGCATAAATGGTCATCGCTCCGTTTATACCAGCTGAGGCTGTACACCCCCGCCTCTTGTCTCTCGCCTGTTGCCCCTCCAGTTAAAATAACTTTTACCGAAGGGGACTTTTATTGAAGATCTCCCCGGCTGGAATGCTACTGTGCCCGATTCGTCAAACAGACCCTGAGACTATTCATTACTGTTATTAGACGTTAGGTGCGCAGGGCAAACACATTTGGGTTTGTCACGTCAGTAAAAGTTACAAGTGCATAGAGATAAGCCTTGGAGAAAGATCCCAACGATTATTTGGCAGAAGGAATTGTGAACCTGGCTAGTAAATTCTATGTCTGGTAGCCTAAAAAGCAACCACCAAATAGACTTGAATTTAAAAACGGGGAGTTACTATCTAGAATGAGTCAAAAACTTCCAGATTAATAAATAGGTCAAATTTTGATTTAAAACGATGAATTTTTAATTTTTTAGCAAAATTTTTCACAAAAATATTCATCCCATTTTTAGACCAGCTCTGAAGTTGGTTGAATTTTTCCAAATTTTGACAAAAAATGTCATTGAAGTGTCAATATTTTCCTTACAATTTGCACAAAAAAATCATCATTTTTAGATCAACTCTATTAATATCCTTGTTTGATGAGACCAAGCATTGGGGCCAGGGAGCAGAGACTGGCAGGGAATAAGCTCCCACAAGGGCTGGGCACAAGTCCCAAGCTGAAAAGCCAAATCGTTCCCATATAGTTAGGAAAATGTGTTTCATAACCCGCCACCAGCCACCCAGAAGGGTCAGGAGTTCATGTGGGAAGTTACACTCTCAGAGATAACTCCTCCAGATGCACAAATCTTTTTATCTTAGGTATTGATTTAATTTTAATTGCTTGTGGGGTTCTTTAATCAGGACAACGTTAAGGATAATAATATAGAGGAGAGCTCTGTATCACTTTTCATCTCTGGATCTCCACGTGTTTTACAAAGGGAGAGAAGAATCATCTCAATATATAGCTGGGGAAACTGAGGCACAGAGCAGGTAAGTGACTTGCCACAGGCAACACAGTCAGTGGCAGAGCTGAGAATAAAACCCCAGGGTAGATCCTCAGCTGGCCCCAGGTCTCTGGCTATCTGTCCAGGGCTATAGTGACCACGATGACTCCCAAGATTCAACATCATACTTCCATGAGTCCAGTGGACAGGTGGCAATCACCAATTAAACAAAATATTGTGGGGTGACAATACCAGTTAAATAAAGTGGAGGACGGGAAAGGGATACACAGCCATGGATGTTAAAAAGAAACAAGAGAATTCACTCAAGTAGCCGTCCAAGAGTGTTTTGGGATGTTTCACCGCTGGAGAGCTTTTATGGCTGTTTACGCTCGTTCACCACAAATGAGAGCACATGGACATTTCCCCAGTTCCCCTTTAATTCAGGGGGAGGGAGGAAGACATGAGATCCTAGTCTAAGACAAGGGGTGAAGTTAATTCCTGAAATAAAATCATTGATGTTTAGAGCAGTTAAATACCAAAGGTGAATTTGACCCACCCAATTTAAAAATCGTAGGCAGAGAATGTAGAGAATTTCCACACAAGGAACACTGGTAAGGAATATGGCATAACATATCCGGTATTGCTATAGATCTGTCTATCTATCTGGGTCTTCTGGATGAAAGAGGTCTCCAAATGTTGACCTTTTCCTGAGACATACTGTTGAATAGACAATATAATAAGAAAGAACAAAATGCCAAAGATAGTGTGTGTGGGGGGGAAACCCCAATGAAGTTCTTCATTACAGACAATGGAGCCATGTGACATGCTTTCTATCAATATTAATAATTATGCTAGCACCCACTATATGGGAGGTTGCTATTGGGGATAGATTACTATAGTGAATTGCAGAAATCAATGCATTAGATCAAAATCTATTTTGTTACATCCATAGGCCATAGATGGGGAACATTTCAAAAAGCTCTCTCTGTGTGTATGTTTTTCAGGATTCCTATGGGACATGGCTTCCGGAGCCATGCAGAGACATAATATTAATTCCATAGTATGCACCTACTACACTGGTACAAAGTCAGGCTATTCCAGATGAGGTCAGATTGACAAAGGCTGGGAGGAAAGCCATGCAGGAGAAGGAAAAGCATGCGTGTGCAGGAGGTGATGGATAAAATTGCATAAACAAACCAGGGGTGATAGTCACAGGGAATAACTAAGAGCGTATGGGAGAGATGACATACAGGCTCCTGAAGAATCCCTTCTATGGAATGAGAAAAGTGCTAGCCTGCAAAAGGACTTGCTCATTGGCTCTGAAATTGTCCAGTCTCATCAGGGAAAAATATACATGAAACAGGTGGTAGCTGGGGAAGGGAGAGGGCAGGAGAGGAAGAAGGATATGGAGAAGTGGCAGCCAAGCATGAGACTCTAAAGTTTAACAAAAATGTCCAGTATTCGCAGGTATATGGATTTTCCCAGGCATACGTTCCTTATTTTCCCCAAAGTAAATGCAGGATTAATGGACACAAACACTTCTGCTTTCTGCATCTATCTACTTCTGTGCCCCCATCACCAAAAGTAACTGAGTGCTTTACAAACAGCAGTGAATATGTTCTCACCACACCCCCGTGAGGCAGATCAGTATCACATGCCCCACCTTACACACAGGGAACTGAAGGACAAAGAGATCAAGTGACTCTCCCAACATTGCACAATCTG